AATTAACAACCCATGAAGGAGACGGTAAGCGGGAACCCATATGCGGTCAGTGCTGGCTTTCAGGAAATAAATTCTTTTGGCCGTGGTGGCTTACTGGTGGGTGTTGCAGGTAAAAATGGGCGAGTGGCGTAGCCGTGGGTAAATAGGCCAGTGGGGAGAGGGTTGGCCTGTGCAATGATGATTGAGGCAATGTGGGTGGATGGGCGGGTAAGGGAATCGGTGATGTTATTGGCCCCCGTTTGTAGGTGATCGTGTAATGGAAGTTGGATTTGAGGATATACAACCAGTGGATCTGTCAAGGGTTGAGGAGGTTCGGTTACGTGCGGGGATGCTGTAAGGATAAGTGGTCTATCTGTACTTTCACGTCAGCTCCTGTTAGGTATCAGCGCCATACCTTGAAAGCGTGTACAATGGCAAACTTTTTTTTTGTCATGGACGGGGTAGTTGTGCTCAGCTGTCCGCAACTTCCTGGACTCATATGCAGTTGGTTGGAGTCTGTCACCAAAGTCATGTAACAGTACCGCTCCGATGGCAAAATCGTTGGCATCCATCAGTACTTCGAGCGGTCGCAATGGATCTGTGATTCGGAGGACCGGGGGTGACATCAGAAATAAATCCAAGTTCGCCAAAAGCAGCCTATTGCCTCTCCTCCCACTCAAACGGAGTGCCCTTCCGCAACAGGTTAGTTAACGGTCCGGTTATCTGCGCCATTTTGGGAATGAAGTGTCGAACATAATTAACAGAACCCATAAAACTCTGCAGCTCAGGTAAATTCGTTGGCTGCTTCCAATCGCGAATGGTGGTGATTTTCTTCGGGTCGTTCTTGATGCCGGCAGCACCAACAACATGTCCCAAAAAACTCCAGTTCTGGTTTTAGGAACTCACACTTAGATCCCTTAGTGATGAGTCGGTTCTCCTGCAACCATTAAGACACACTTTCGAGGTCCTTGAGGTGATGCTCCTTTGTCTTGCTGAAGATGAGAATGCCGTCCAAGTACACGCTGAGACACTTGTCGAGCAGGTCCCAGAACACGCCATTCATGGTCAGTTGGAAAGGTGAGGGTGCGTTCATGAGGCCGGATGGCATCACCGCGTACTCATAGCTGCCGTAGCGTATGCAACATGCCGTCTTGTGGCAGTCGTCAGCTGAAACTCTTATCTGGTAGTAACCGCCTTACAGGTCGATCCTGGAGAGGATGCGAGCTCCGCAAAGTTGGTCTGTGAGATCTTTAGGCCCTAGGATTCGGTAGCGAGGTTTGATGGTCTTATAATTCAAGGCACAGTAGTCGATGCACATTCGCAGGCCCTCAATTTTTTGGCGTGAATAGGATTGGCGATGCGAACAGGGACGTGATGGGTCGGATGAAGCATTTCTCCAGTAGGTAATCCAGCGGGCTCCGCAAATCCGTGATTTCGGGCTGAGTTAGCCGCCATTGGGTTCTGACAGCTGGTTATGTGCCAGGTTCCAACTCAATCTTGTGGTCCTGTGGGCGCCCAGGTGGCAGTCCGGCTGGAAGGTCATCCGAAAAATATTCGGGTACTGTCGAATCAGCGAGGCGAGTTCCTCGGGCACTGCTGCACATAAAGTGTCCATGTCCTAGGGGGGTCGTCAGCCGTTGATGCATGCAGATGGACGGCGTACAGGTCGGCTCCCTTTTTTTACAGCTCGCTGGATCGTGATGGCGTTGACACGTGTCGACACCGGCTCTCGTCCTCGCCAGCGGGGTAGTGTGCACCACCCAGCTGTACAATTCACGCTGCATTCGCCAGTCGTCCAGTCGATTCGCAGATTATATTTTCACAGCCAATCGCATCCTAGAAGGACGTCACAACCATCCAATGTTGTCGCCAGCATGGGCATGCGGAATCCGAAATCGTCGCCACAATTCATCCGCACCATGCGCGCTCATTCCCGGATCGCCAATGGTGTCCCATCTACTGTACCAACCATGCATCAATCTTAGGGAGACACTTCTCCAACGCTAGCTTCAACTGCTTCGCTGTTGTCACGTCGATGAGGCTGTGATGAACCTCGCCATCCACAAATAAATTCACCGATTTTCTGTTCACCTTGCCTTCGACCAATACAGGGTGATCTTCAGGTTCGCCCCCGTTATTCGTCCGAGTGCGGTCGATAGCATGTATCAGTACCACAACTCGGTGAGAATGCTGAATTTTGGGCGACAAAGCCTCATTAATAGGGGGCCCGTTTGCTACTGACTCGTATTGAATGTCAAAATGCAGCCCTACAATGTACCTGTCCCGCCTTTCCGCTTCGTTGGGGTCATCCACTTGGTCCGCAAGTGCCGAGAATGACGCTTGTGTAATCTTGAATAGTTGTTACATCCCGCCGGGTACGCAGCTTCATGCGAGCGTCGTCCGAGGTGGATGAGTGCTCGAAACGAATTCGCAGTCCTGTGCCCCACTATTTCCATATGCGAATCGTGGTCGTCCTGAATATTGGTTCTGCTCGCTGGTTAGAAGAGTCTGAAGTCCCGTCCTTCGCCGGCTTCATGCCTGCCGAAGTCGCCACCATCAACTGATATCGCCACCAATCAAACGCTGGCCCTCGAAGTAGCGACACATCGTAGTTGATACGCGCATCGTCCGTGTTCACGCTCGCGACAATGAAGAACAGCTCCATGCTGAACAGCTACACTTGTACAGTTGTTGCCTTGTCCATAGTATTGAACGGGGGCGGCGTGGCCGGCTTGAGCTTAATCTTCGTTACTGTCACTGCGCGCATGTCTTCTTGCTCCAATTCCCATGCGAGCTCGTCGAGGACGGTTTCGCTCGCCTCGTCCTTGGCCTCTTCCTTGACATCATTCTCTGCGATCTCGGGCGACTCCTGGCGCTCATGTCTTCCTTGACTCTTGCGATCTCTTGGCTCCTGGCGAAGCTTAGTGTTCTCTGTTCGAAGTCTCACGACTTCACTGTTCAAACTTGCCATCTGGGTTTGCATCACCTGCATCTGAGCCACGATCTCGTCTAACTGGGCCTGAATCATGATGTGAATGTTTCGCCTTTTGGGTAGGGGGGAGGTCAAGATAAGGAACCACACAAGACGCAAATGCTATCAGAGTTGTGTGAGATAACAACTCTAGCTCACGGACAACTGCTTTGCAGCCCCGCAGGGTTGACCATGCCTTGGAAATAAACTACCCCAAGAAAGTTGGGTGAACCAAGAAAGTAGCTCTGATACCAGATAGTATGAATAATAACTGAGAGTGCACCGAATAATAATGACGAGTACAAATACGAGAGCCTAGCAAGATATAGCGAGAGTCCTAGCTAGGCGAGGACCCCGGAGGGCTAGGTTGGGTACATGTATGTTGGAAAGGGCCGAAGGCGGTGCGAGCCAGCCTCGGGGTTGTGTCGAAATCGGACCGAGCCAGGTCTTCCTAGAGTTCGGGTGTACGCGATACACTACAACCCGGTAAGGAATAAATTCCCTTACAATTCCCCACATATTTGCACCAGGGCACACATTAACATGGTAATTACCATGACTTGACTGAAAATCCGATGTGTTTTCAAGATCGACCCTGTGTTTTCCAGGGCTTTGTTCAAGCCAGCCCTGAGGGAATCAGGGGAATTTATCAACTGGCCCGTAAGAGTCCGGGGCGGTTTTGAGGGGGCTTGGACATCTAGTTAGCCTCCAGGGGTTGTAGGAATTTGTCAAACTTCCTGTTCTTCCCTTTCACACTTAGCCCAAGTCTGCTCCTCCCATTTCCCCTTAGTTTAGCGGTTGGTTTTAAAATGAGCTGCCGGGAACAATTGTTTACGCCACTCAAACTCGCCCGATCCCTCCCACCAAACCCCCTTTCTTCTCAGCGCCTTGACCTAAATATAGCACTTTCACGTGCGTGATTCATCTGCAGCATAGATGCTGGTGCGGGTTTCCCATCCCGAAGTCGCCCACTGGCACCTTCACTATCTTGTCGAGCAAAGATGGGTTATAACCTATAACATAACAGGCCTTTTTTAGCATGGACCCTAAAGCATCAGGGTAAATTTCATACGAAGTCGAATTTTACAGAGTGATTTCCCGAAGGGCCCAGATCTTCCGAGATGGCGAAAAAACTAGCGAGAGCCCAGATCTCCACGCATAACAGCGCCTACCGAAGTCTTGGATATCGTCAGGTGGTTACCGTTCAAACAATTTTGTTTGGAACTTTCCTGACTGGCCTTGGCGCGCAAGGAGGGGAAGGAACACATGATGCGACTGCGGTGCCCGTCTGCGGCGGGCAGATAGGAGGATATGAATTTCGGTGGCAAAAGAGTGATGCTTGCTGCCCGCGGAGAAGACCAACAAATAAACTCACACCTACTGCAGGCAGACTGAGGGCGATTCCGCAGCGAGTGTCAGACCCGAGGGCTGTCACAACCTAACTGCGGGTTTAATTTTCTTGACGGTGCAGCAGCTGCATAGTCGCGAACTGTCGCAAGGGGAGGGTTGCGACCATACTGGCCAAACTCTTCGAGTCCAACAGAATTTTTCGAAGTTATGATTGGTGGAAGTTTATTTGCGCGACTTTGTTAGTTGTTCGGTTTGACAGCTGACTGGCTGTAACCGTCAGTTTTTCGCAAGACCCGAGGCAATTTTTTTCCAGCCTCGGATCTTCCCGCTAAACCCTCGGGTCTAACACTCGCTGTGGAATCGCCCTGAAATAGTACATCTCAGGCGAACAGGCGGACCGTCGGGAAAACCAGACGGGCTGACATCTACCCGCGGGCATAAAACAATAAACCCCGTCCAGATGGCATGGGACTCGGGGGAGGCATCAGGCACCCATCCGCCAGTTTAGGGTATACCCATCCCGAACAGCATACCGTTTTTACTGGTGTTCAATGTTTTTCTGCCCGCGGTTTGCGTCGCCGTTCGTAGATGCTCGTCGTCAACGCGTCGACACTTGTTGGCGCTGCTCAACCGTCAATTCCCCTGACGGACAGCAGCAAAGCAGCTGACTTTCTTTGGGCTATGGCTTGACGAGTATCTGCAATCCTTAGTCAATTTCCAACTGGGTGTTAGTACCTGCAAAGCGGCACTGACTACACTTCTTCTGTCACCCATTGTTCTTCGACATCAAGCTCGCCGCCATGTGGATGTCATGCCAGTCTGTGTGCGGTCGGTCGTGCTTCTCGCCCACGCGCGAGGGGCTAATCGCCGTGCCGTCCGACCTCTCCGATTCCTCCACCTCCACCTCGCCGGACCATGACCTTCGCGTCGCCTCTGACCCTCCCACGCTCTCGGATCTCCGCTCCTCGTTCCCTCTGGAGCCACAGCGCATGCAGCGCGACGATTCGTCCGCCAGCGACGCTCTGAATCCGCCACACGGCGCGCGAGGGGAAGCAACCGTGGCGGTAGCATTCGCCAGGGACGCGGCTGCGGCGCCGCCGTCGGCTGATGGCGCGCCTTCCTCCCCGGGCCCGCTCGCGTTCCGCCGGGTGGTGGAGGGCGGCGACGCGGCAGGCGGTAGATTCCCCCTGGACGACCTCCCCGACTCGCTGCTGAGCGACGTGCTGCGGCACTTAAAGCCCGTCGACGTGCTGCGCGTGGCGCTCGTCTCGCGCGCATTCCGCGATGCCGCTGCCTCCGAATCTGTGTGGGACAACAGGCTGCCCGAGAGTAAGCTGCCCGGAAGGAAGAGTGCCTGGGCGGAGCGAGTGTGGTAGTGCGGGTTGCCTGGTGGTAGGATTGCTTGGTGGCGCAGGGAGTGCAGAGCGCCCCGGACTCAGTTTGCACTGCCGTTCTCGCCCTCCCAACTCCCTTCCCTCCATGCCGCCCGCCTCTGCAGGCCTGTCGCAGCTTGTACCACAGCCAGACCCTTGCCGCGTTTCTTCCCGCCTGGCCTTCAGGTCAGTTCCGTTGCTGCTTCAAGGTCACTCTCAGTGTAGGGCCCATCTCATGTCCAAGCGCCACAGCATGCTCCAACTCCCACCTCATTGTGACCCGCTGTCCACCCACTGGCCGTGCATGCCTCAACCCGCCTGTGTCCCGCAGGGCGCTGTGCGAGGGCGTGCACGTAGACGACGGCCGGCAGCGCCTGTCGCTGCACCCTGGCACGGGCTCCGTGTGCGTGTGCGTGTCAGTGGCGCTGGCAGCGCGCTCCATGCAGGTGGACATCCGGCGCGGCGGCATGCTGCGCGACTGGCAGCGCATGAGCGACGAGCCGTGCGCCTTCTTCCACACGTCCGTCCTGCTGCGCCCTCTTGGTGGCTACCGCCTGACCTCCACTCAACACGGCATCGCTCTGCCCCGCCAGCTGCCCGCAGGTGACACATGGCGTGATGCCTACAGTGACACATGGTGCAACATGTGGTTTGCCCCATGGATTCGAAATCTATCTATGTTTACTGCAAGTGCTGGACTCCCTCCACAGTGTCTGTGCCTCACCACATTTGACCGGGTCTGCCTGTGTGCAGGGCGGTATGCCGTGGGATGGCGGGTGAGGGCACAGCACGTGGCGCCCAACCTGCTCTTCCACTGCGACTCCGCCTTCTCTCTCAACGACAGCTCTGCCATCTCGCGCCGCCACTGCCAACCACTGGCTCCCACGTGGCAGGTCCTTAGTGTGGGTGACATCCTCATGCCATCTGCTGCCGGTGAGTTGCTCACTTTACAGGTTTTGAGATACCTCCACCTTGCATGGTGCGTGTGCGCACATGCTCGCTCTGCTTCCTCGTGTTACCTCTCTACACTGTCATCTGCCACCAGCTCTCTGTGCGGCCCGTGTCACTGCTTTCCCGACTGCTTGCTTGCTTAAGTACTTCACATGGAGCGCGTGGTTCATGGCTTCGCCCATGGCCTTGTTGGAGGCATCCACCTATAATGCACTTATTGACGTCCCCACTCCGTTGCTCTCCTCGCTGCCCGCTGTCATGCCTTCAGAGCAACCTGGCACCACCAACCCCGGTGCGGTGCTGACAGCTGAGCTGGAGCAGCTGCAAGGAAAGGGATCCCAGCCGCCTGTGGTGGTAGACTGCATCGTCTTGCAGCAACGCACAGGCTGACTCTCCCCCCCACACTGTTTTTTGCATCTCTCCATGGGCAAATGGAACATGTGCCATGCGAGACCGGCACAGTGCTGGCATCATGGGGTGGGGACCCTGTAAATCTTTCTGCTTAGACCCTAAAGCCTCCACTCCCTGCTGCCCCTGCCGATGGCTTGATGGTGATGGAGCGAGCGTGAGAAGTTAATAGCTATTTGTGAGCGTGTCATACGGTAGACCTCCCTTCTGTTGCTAGACTTTTTTAGATTTCCACAGGAAGTCTTCTTGCACCCTTTTTTCTGTACGCAAAGCAAACTACCTAATGCTTTACAAAGGCAGCGTTTATATACACAACCTAAGAAAACGATGGTGATCAGACTTTGCTCCAGGAGCTAGCCATGTCAGTCAACTTCTCTGGCGCCTCAGGGTCACAGCGCTGGTAGAAAAAGATGCTCATGGGGCGCAGCGAGTAGAGGGCGGCGGAGCGGGAGAAGCCGGACTCGGGGAGCACAAAGGAGTGGCACGTGGACAGCAGCAGCCACTCCGCCACCATCTCCTGGAAATTCATCACAGCAGCACTCTTCCTCTCAGCCTCATCCACATTGTCGCCTTCCTCCTCCGCCCCTCTGTTGATGGAGCCTGCCAAGCGGCCCTCAGCAGTGAGCTTGGCCAGCACTTCCTCATGGATGCGCGTGTCATTGACCTGGGACGGGTCGGCACTGCGCGCGCTGGCCTCGCGCACTGCTGCCTCGGCATAGTCGTGCAGCAGCACGGCGTCCGACGCATTGCCTACAAAGTGGTTGAATCCGCGCTCCCTCAGCACTATGTCTCCCAACTTCTCCGAGTGCCGCGGCACAAAGGTCGTGAACAGCACCTGATCACATGGGGGTTCATGGAGGGGATAAGGGAACCAAGACGTGAATCTTAATAGAGCAGGAGGAAAAGCTGCCGAGAGCTATAGCTGGATCTTGCTTGTAGTGAATCACTGCCCTCAGACTTATCCTCTCCCCCCAGCTCATCCATGATTCGCTGCCCCTGCTTCTCACGCTTGACCGAAATCCTGCACTGCAACCACCTCATCTTGCCTGCTAGCTGTCTGCTTCTCCCTTATCCTGCACGGAGTGCGTGAGAGCATGATTGCTCTGTATGGGTGTGCACATGTACATGGGCATGTGTGTGTGCATGTGTGTGTGCATGTCTGTGTGCGTGTGCCCACCTTATCTGGCAGCTGCTGCTTGAGAGCGTCCTTGAGCCGACCCGAGTTGGTTATGAGCACCCACCGCACCCTCAAGGGCGGTGGAAACCACCATGTCTCCACTGACTGGAGTAGGGGGAAGACACGGGGAGACACGACGTGGGGGGATGAGGCGGATGTGACAGCATGTCTATGGGTTGAATGCAGGCAACGGGGGAGACACGTGGGGGGTGGAGGGATGGATTTTTGTGAAGAGCATAGAGTGCACGGGCCAGGCCAGTAACATAACATAGGCGTGAATTTGGCGAGGTCGGGGGTGGAGAAACGGAATAAATGTAAATGAGGGGTTACCAGCTGATGGTTCCACCTGATGGTTCACCTGAGCACAATCTATTACTGGAGCTGCCTTTCCCAGAAGCTCCTGAAGCTCTGTTGAGTTGTACTCCTTGGGCCTTAGCTTCGTCTCCCCTGCAGTTGGCACATCACAACAACATGCCACCGGAATGGCCACAAGATAGGGTATGGGTAGTATTCTCACGACAAGACCTACCTGTGCACACCCTTTCAACTTCAGTCCACCAACCTTCCTCGGGTTCCAGTGACCAATGAGACGCTTCAAGGAGGCCCGAAAGAGCGTAGAGGCTCAGCATGAACTAATTCGCAAGTTCATGCCACCTCAGCTCATACAGCTTCGTGCCAAACACACGCCACCATGCGTTCCGTGTCATCCCACCATCCACATCTCAACTCGCCCTTTTTCCCTGGAACTGCGAGAGCGGGAATGAGGGAAATCGTGTGTCACCTCACCTTGCCATGCCGTTTCATCTTGAATCCTGACGTGAACCCCGATGCTCACAGTGTCGGGAGCATGCGTCTGGCCCCACAGCGAGGAAAGCAGCGCCATGACTTCAGGCTTGGGCCTGGCGACGAGCGCCATGGGAACATGACATGGAGAGATGGTGGGTGGAGACGCCGGTGATGGGGGCATGGGGACAGAGGCATGGCAGCATGACGGTACATCCGCCAGCAAAGAGAGAAAAGAGAGGGGGGAGCTCGAGCGAGCGAGAGACATCCCCGAATACACCTGTTCCACGCTAAAGGAGACGGGTTTTTTCACGCCGCTCGCGCCTGTTCCCCAAAACTTTCAAACCCCGGGCAAACGCGACATTAGCGCGGAAAATGCACAGTAACTTCCAGGCAAAATGTTGAACATTTTGACCGGAATTTTGGGGTCAAGGTGATTCACGCTCGGTGCCTGGTAGGTGGGACTGAACGTAGGGGGACAAGAGCAGTCGAGAATTGCAACTGGGACTGTTCGTCAGAGGACCATAGCGTGGAACAGGTGTACCACGTACTTGAGCAGCACCCGCAGGATGCAACCAATGGCGTACGGCACCCTGAGCCCTGTGGCTCTGATCCACTCCCCCCACGGCCCCTGCTCCTCCGTGAGCAGCTCCGTGAGCTCGCCTCGGTTCCACGACAGCCGCATGTTGATGGCGTCCTGGAAGGGCAGGAAGAAGAAGGCGAGGTCCACGAAGAAGAGGTTGCGCATGTCCACCATCGGCACCTCGTCCGCCGCCTGCAGCCCCTCCCACGCCGCCACCCGCGCCACTATCCTGTCCATCGCGATCTCGCGAGCCGGCTCCATGGGAACGTCGTCTGACGCCGTCCAGTCCACGAGGTTGGGCTCGAAGGCGAAGGGGATGCACGGGTGGCGGATGATGAACGCTCGCCTCGTGATCAGCGCCACGGCGAACGTGGACGCGAGGCCCAGGAGGGAGTCCCCTAGGCCTCCGCAGTTGTCGAACCACTCGTAGGTGATGAAACGAAGGGGAATTGCGGAGGACGAGTTGCTGCCGCCAGCGTTCACACTACTGCCTGCGGCATTTCTGCTCGCTGCCCTGATTTGCTCGTGAATCTGAATATACTCATTATGCCATGACCCGCAAAGTGCGTCGGGATAGCCAAAATCCAGAAGGGATGTCAGTTCCGAGGTAAATGACGGGTTGACGCTGCTGCTGCTGCTAGCGCTGTCGATTCCCCTGTTTATGGAGCCAGTGTCGTCTCCCGCAATTGCAATGATGCCGCTCGAGGAAAGTAAGAGCGAGACGATGACGGGGAAATAGACTTCGTGCCAAAGTGATATGCCACGGTCCGCAGTCAGAGCCCCCATTTCCTTTCCGAAGAACTTGGTAGGAAGTGTAGCATGGACAACATTTGGAAAAAGTGCAAGGTGAGGTGATGATCCATGGTTGAGTGGGGCTGTGCTGCTGACAGAATCATCAGTCACTTCTCGACACAGGCCGAGGGCGGGTCCAAATAATAGCGGTGCAGTGAATTCCTTTGCGTTTCAAAGCGTTCAAATAGCTACCTGAAATGGTTGGGTAGGGTATTTGTGAAATCATACTTTTTGGACCCGCCCTGGATCCCTCCTTCCCAGGCTGTTCGCTTCGCTCGTACGGTACACCATTTCTCCTCTATGGTCCCACCCTGAACAGTCCAAATTGCAATCTCACCTACCAGGTTCTCAGCATGACTCGCGTTGACACTGAACCTGATTGGCTGCAGTCTGAACGATAACGAGCTACCAAGTTGTTTTTCAACAATTGCGAGATTCAGAGCTGGAACGTCGCGCTGGCAAACCAATCTAGTGCATGAGCGAGATTTGTAACCAAGTGTCATTGCTTACTGTGGGATTTCCCCTTCAAAGTCCCGTTTGCCCGTGTTTTACAATTTCCTGTTTACAGGCTCAAGCCGCGTGCAAAAACCGTAAAACTAAATAGAAAACCAGGTGTACAAGTTAAGTCAACAGCAGTGTGCTTCGATTCAAAGCCAGAAACGGCAGTTACCGTACGCTCTACAGGGTACACCGTCAGTATTGCAGCCAAGCCAATCCTTATCAGGTGCAATGACTAACAACAACAACAACAACAACAACAACAACAACAACAACAACAACAACAACAACAACAACAACAACAACAACAACAACAACAACAACAACAACAACAACAACAACAACAACAACAACAACAACAACAACAACAACAACAACAACAACAACAACAACAACAACAACAACAACAACAACAACAACAACAACAACAACAACAACAACAACAACAACAACAACAACAAAAAAAACAACAAAAACAACAACAACAACAACAACAACAACAACAGGGGTGGGGGGAGGAGACGGCCCAAATTTGAAGGGTATAACACTGCTTAACCTTTCCAGCGGCCGCTTATTATCGTATACCCTGATATTATGATGGAAAATATGTAACGCCTTCTAAAAAAGAATAATATGTTTCATCTTACTGTAATAAAAGTGCACCAAGTTTTTGGGCGTATTCCTACAAAGAAACACCAGCTTTAAAAGTACCTACGGTATTCTTATGTTACTTCATACTCGTTTGTTTCGAAGTGTGTTGGTCATTAAGACCTATCGTCAGTCGTAATTGGCAAACAATGACAATGCGATATGCACGTCTGATCTTCACGAGCATAGCAAATGAGTTGTGCACTTGGAAGCTTGTGCGCGAAAATATCTCGTGCCAAGTGTCAACTAACAAACATGTATTTGCTAGTTATGATATATGTGTTAATGTTGTTAAAGTAAGAACTGAATGTTGAACTAGAAGGAGAAACCTAGAACAAATACTAGTTGGTTGTACTCACTAGAAGCATACCCAGCCTAGCCTATAACTTCTATATAGCTAATATGTATAAGTTGACACAACCCATAGGCTAGACAAGGGGTGAGGCTAAGCAAGAAGCAAACAGCTCACGGTGGCACTACTAGCCCAACCACCGAGGCAGGGGTCTGGAGACCAGTCAGCAAGAGTACAAACAAGACTAAAGCAAGTCAGGGCGGCACTACTAGTCCAGCCACTAGAGGTAAGGCCACAAGGCCAGTCTGACAGGTATATATAATAGAGAGTACACAATCAGGATCCTAACAGGTGCGTAGCTACAGGAACAAGACCAAGCTGTACACAGTGCCGTTGATGATCTTTAGGCGCAAGCGCCTTAGTAAAGATATCAGCTGTGTTGGCACCTGAGGCCAAGTGAACTACGCAGGCCTGGCGGCGCTGCTGTAACTCGCACAGGAGGAAGTACCGCAGCTGGATATGCTTCGCTCTGCCCTCAAGCCGAGGCTCCTGACACAGGAGGATCATGGCCCTGTTGTCAGCGTACAGGACCGGGGCAGAGCTAGGCCTCTCACATAAGTCAGTGAGCAAGAAGGTCAACCAGCGGAGCTCCTGTGCCGCCATGGCACCAGCGTAGATCTCAGCCTCACAGCTAGACTGAGCAACAGACGACGAGCGAGTGGATCTCCAAGAGACAGCACCCGAACCAAGGCTAAAACAGTAGCCCTGCGACGACCTCAGCGTCTAAGAGTCATCTGCCCAAGAAGCGTCTGTGTGCCCAGTAAGGACCACTGGCCTGCGTCCTCCTAGCACTAACCCCATGCCCGATGTACTAGCAAGATAACGCAAAACCCTCTTAGCGGCAGACCAGTGCTGAGGTCGGTGTTTGTCTTTAGCCACAAAGCGAGCTAGGATGCTGACAGGGTATGCGAGATCTGGGCGAGTGCAAGTCATCAGGTACATGAGGCAACCCACGAGCTCTGCGTAGGGGCCACTGGGCTCTACTGACTCCTCAGGAACGGGAGCGGAGAGCCCATGGTCTACAGGTAGAGGTGTGGGCTGTGCGGAGGAGAACTGAAGACCGAACCTCTGAAGGACCTGACGCACCAAGTGTGACTGTGTCAGAGTGATGGTGCGTGCTGCTCTGTCCCTAGAGATCTGCAGGCCAAGATAGCGATGCAGCTCTCCAAGGTCAGTGCAGGTGTGTCTCTTCAGTAGCTCAGCCTTCACAGAGGCCAGTGCGTCCCTGTCAGCAGTAGCGAAGACCAGGTCGTCTACGTAGACAAGGATGTAGAACTGAGTCTGGCCGGAGCGCACAAACAGTGAGGGGTCAGCAGAGGACAAAAAGAACTGCAGATCTGCTAACGTGGCACGTAGCGTGTCGTGCCACTCGCGGGGAGCCTGACGCAGGCCGTAGACCGGGCGCCTGAGAAGCCACTGGGTCCCAGGGGGAAGGTACCAGTGAAGCCCTGTGGTCGGCGCAAGTAGACCTGCTCGTGTAGGCTGCCCTAAAGAAAGGCAGTAGAGAAGTTGAGGGAGTGAAGCTCGTAGTCGCGCTGTGCTGCTACATGTAGCAGCGCCCGAAGAGTGGTCATCTTCGGGGTCGGGGCGAAGATCTGGAAGAAGTCAACCCCCTCGCGCTGACTGAAGCCTCTGGCCAAGTAGCGCGCCTTGAAGACAGGCGGCTCTCAAGGGGGGCGCTTCACCTTGAAGAGCCACCGACCATCGACTACGTTCACCCCAGGCGGGGGAACTGCGTCGACGTAAGTGCCGGTGGACCTCCAAGATGCCATCTCCTGCTCCATGGCAGCTATCCACTGAGAGGCCCAAGGTCCCGAGGTGGCCTCAGCGTAGGTGCGAGGGGTCGGGATGTCGAAGGCGTCTGGGTCACCCTCAAGGACTAACTGCATGGAGCAGAGATGGGGAGCATCTTAAAAACAGAATGAATAGATGATAAGAGAGAGAGTACAGGAATATATCTAAGTATTGTACCCTCTAAGAGATGACCCTATACAGTCTATGAGATACACATGTTTGACACACCCCCTAGACAGCATAGGGGCAGGTCCTGAACAAGCAGCTCAGGGCGGCACTACTAGTCCAGCCACTGAGACAAGGGCCTAAAGACCAGTCAGGAGGAGTACAGGCAAAGCAAGAATTAGGCCAGGGCGGCACTACTAGTCCAACCACTGGTAGAGGACACAAGTCCAGTCTGAGTATACGTAGATATATTTGTATATATAGGGCAGTACAATGTCAAGGTCCTAGCAAGTGAGAAGCTACAGGAACTAGACCTAGCTGTACACAGTGTCGCTGATGATCTTTAGGCGCAAGCGCCTTCGTAAAGATATCAGCTGTGTTGGCACCGGAGGCCAGGTGTACTACGCGAGCCTGGCGACGCTGCTGTAGCTTGCGCAGGAGGAAGTACCGCAGCTGAATGTGCTTCGCTCTGCCCTCGAGTCGAGGCTCCTGACACAGGAGGATCATGGCCCTGTTGTCAGCGTACAGGACCGGGGCAGAGCTAGGCCGCTCACCTAAGTCAATGAGTAAGAAAGTCAGCCAGCGGAGCTTCTGTGCCGCCATGGCACCAGCGTAGATCTCGGCCTCACAGCTGGACTGCGCCACAGACGAGGAGCGGGTAGCTCTCCACGAGACGGCACCTGAACCAAGGCTGAAGCAGTAGCCCTGGGAAGACCTGAGGGTCTCAGCGTCGTCCGCCCATGAAGCGGCTGTGTGTCCAGTAAGGACCACTGGCCTCCGTCCTCCTAGCACTAACCCCATGCGTGATGTACTTGCGAGATAACGCAAAACCCTCTTAGCTGCAGACCAGTGCTGCGGTCGGTGTCTGCCAGTGGCCACAAAGCGAGCCAGGATGCTTAGAGGGTATGCGAAATCATGGCAAGTGCAAGTCATCAGGTACATGAGGCAACCCACCAGCCCTGCGTAAGGACCACTGGGCTCTACCGACTCCTCAGGAACTGGAGCGGAGAGTCTGTGGGCTAGAGGCAGAGGGGTGGGCTGTGCAGAAGAGAACTGAAGGCTGAACCTCTGAAGGACCTGGCGCACCAAGTGTGACTGAGTCGAGGTAATCGTGCGCGCTGCTCTGTCCCTGGAGATCTGCAGGCCAAGGTAACGGCGCAGCTCTCCAAGGTTAGTGCAAGTGTGTCTCTTCAGCAGCTCTGCCTTTACCGAGGCCAGTGCGTCCCTGTCTGCTATGGCAAAAACCAGATCGTCCACGTACACAAGGATGTAGAACGGAGTCTGGCCTGCACGAACGAAGAGTGAGGGTCTGCCGAGGACGGAAAGAACTGAAGGTCAGCAAGAGTAGCCCGCAGCGTGTCGTGCCACTCACGGGGAGCCTGCCGCAGGCCGTAGACTGGACGCCGCAGGAGCCACTGGGTCCCAGGAGGGAAGGTGCCAGTAAAGCCCTAAGGGCGGCGCAGGTAGACCTGCTCGTGTAGGCTGCCCTGGAACAGGTCGTCCAGGCGACAAAAGCAGCGAGGAGTGGTATGACCAGTCTTACCGCAAACGAAGCCGCGGCGAGGACCGGTCTGGATCTGGTACTGACAACGCACACCTCCCGAACCACCACCCAGTACACCACCACGCGCACGACCACCTTCAGCTCCAGGCCACTCGGGCGGCTGCTGCTGCTGTGACTGTGGAGGTGGCTGCTCAGCTGGACCGGGCAGGGTCCCCTCGTCCGCTCCAGCACCAGACGACCCGACTCCACCACCACCCCCACCTGCACCCCCTCCTCCGCCGCCGCGCCCAGCCTTGGGGCGGCGGCCCTTCCCCGAACGGAACGGCACGGCAGCAGCAGTCTCAGCCACAGCGGCTGAACCATCGGAGAAGGTACACTAAGCGGGGGCACAACCCTGAAAGATAGGGACCGGCACGGTACCGCTCGCCTGGGCGATGGAGCGGTGGCGGGTCTCTATAACAGTCAGGGTGTCTACAAAGTCGGTGAGGGTGAGCTCACCGGGGTGGATACTAAGGAAGCGGTCGCGGGCAACGGCAAGGCGGTCAGGGAGGCGGGTGGCAAGCAGGTAGAGGGTAGAGGTAATGGGCGGCTGGTGGGCTCTACGCTGTGCGTCGGTGCAGGCAGCGCGCCAGGTCTCATCTATCGTGCGCAGGTGGGCAGCCAGGTCAACGACAGTGGGGAAGGACGCAAGATCAAGAAAGAGCAGCGGGAGGATCAGGCGACCCACCGAGGCAGCATGAGGGGTGGAATAGCGCTTGAGGACAGCATCTAAGTAAGCCTGCGCGGTAGTGAGGGACCTGAAGCGGGGGCGCTCAGACGGGGGAAGGGCATTGCTAATGGCAAGCTGGGCGACAGCGTCTCGGGAAAGCCAGACAGAGCGGGCAAGGGCAGCGGCTGCAGTGGACTCGCGCTCAGCGGGCGTGGGGTCAGCGGGCAGCACAGTAGGGGGATCTGGGCAGGGGAGCATACCGTCAAGGTGTGCAGAAAGCGGGTGGCCATCCTGTCGCTGGCCAGTGAGGTGGCGACGGAGGTCGGCGAGCCACGCCTCGAACTCCAGAGGCTGGCCTTCAGCGTCGAAGCGAAGCTCCGCCGCCATCAGGAGCAGTGCAGGACCGGACAGT